ATTTGTTTTTTTTTTTTGTTTATTTTGTTTTTTTTTTGCAGGCCAGAGGCCACAGCCTAGAAAGCGGAAGCGACACGACTTGGCCCAAAAACTTGGCCAACAGACAGATATGAGCTCTATATATGAAGTACGTCTAAATACAACAACTACAATGATGACGACGACGCGCTTAATTGAGTGCAATGTTCATATTAATTGTCTTGGAAACAAAGCTAACCAACTTCTGCTCATTCTCTTGCTCCCTGCAAATTAAATAACAATGCCGCCGAGCAATGTCAAACATTTGGTCCTGCTAATCGCGTAAAACATAACACCATTACCGCCATAAAATAAATTTTCTGCCATAATATCTGTCCAAATGTTGGCGGCATTTCAACTCTGCAATCACAGCAATCGATAAAAAGAAGAAACCAGCAGGCTACAGACGCGCGCAAGTGGCTTTCAAATACCCTTCAATATAATGGCAACTTGAATGACGACAACTTGAATTCAATGAAACAATTATAGACGTATTTATTTGTTTTAATACAATATTCAAGTTTCTGTAAAACCATTTCAATGTTGAAAGTAAACGTTGCGCTATAGTTTTTAAGTTTGATAAAGAAAATAAAAATATAAATACAAGTTCCACATAGAAGACAAATTTCTATATTAGTTTAATATTTATGCAGTTGTTTGAATCTATAGCCAAGGCTTGAATCACCCAATTCAGACAAGTGTCGACTTCCAGACTCAGTAAGTATATATGTACATAAATGTATTATTTATCAGTATGATAAGGCAAGTATGTCTGGCTGACCGCCTGTCTGTCCGCTTGCATAAACACAAGGACCTCGAATAACCACATCAAAACCCTTTTCAGAACAAGTTTGTCTTTTTTCCTGATGGCCGTTGAGCATTTAATTCTCGTTTCCTAGAATATTTTGATATCGTTATCAATTTCCTGACTTGATTTGTTTTATTTCTTAATATAATACTACAGTTTTAAATGAACAAATAGTTTTGCCAAAAGAAGAATGATTTGAAATCGACCAACAAATGTTTTTAATAAAATGCTCTTAATAATTAGCGAATTCTAAAACAATATTTACACTGTCCATCCACATTCTGCGCAGCTTTATTTTAATTTTTGTATATTTGGAATAATGCTAATTTTTATGAATTGGATCTGAATTATATGGATATGAATTATTAAATGGACCTACTCAGAAGCTCTTTTCTGCATCGACGGCTTTACCCTTAGATAGTTGGATTTATAACACTAACTTGAAAAAATAAAAACTATAAACATTTCTCTTACAACTTCATTGAATTGTCAGTTATAGTATAGTGATGGTCTTTAGAAGTACCTGTAGGATCGTTTTGAATCCTTTCTTTTATTAACTCATTTGAGATCTACAGTTTGATGCCCAATAAAAAAATGTTAAAGATAATTAATTAATTAATTTAATTACAAAGACTTAGAAAACAACAATTAGGTTTGAATCCAATTTTAGTTCAAAGGTGTTACAAAAACTCTTTCGTACTTTGAAAAGAATACAAATTAATATAAAAATGTTCGAGCCCAGAGCTTAATTTCAAATGTATATATGTTTGTACTTAACAATTTATTTATTTATTTTAACATTTGTAACTTAGAATTAATCTTGAACCACAATATTTGATACATATAAAAGTATATGTACAACCAGAGCTACGAAGGACTTCAGGCAGATACTTATTTAACTGAAAGTAAAGTAACATAAAATAAAAAGAAAGTAGCTCTTTATTTATTAGTACAGCAATTTTATAGCAATGGCACATCCAACTACATTTTTGCATACTCCAAAAATTCTCTGGATGTAGAAAACCCCTTCTGGAAAGAGTAAATTCAATCTGTCTAGACCGAGCGCAATTGTGGCCTCGCCTGCTATTCCAGCTTAGCTGGCCAACGCGATTCCATGCCGTATGATGCCGAGCATGTTACCAATTCACAACATCGCGCAGAGGCGCAGGATGATTTTGATTTATGCCAAAAAGCGAATGCGAATGTGGCAGGCAGCACAAAAAACTAAAACACAAATCAAACGCAAACAGCGCGACGAAACATTGCAACAATCCGAGGCAGCAGCAGCAGCAGCATCCGATCCGATGCTGCCAATCGACATTGGCCCTTGTTCATTACAGCCGAGCAGCGCGTATAGCCGTAGCTCTGGCTGCAGCTCGATCCGACGACTAGCCCTGGATGGGCGACAAAAAACCCAAAACGAGCGCGAAATCCAAATGCTCGAGACGCGTCTCTTTTTTCTTTTGTGTTATGTGCCACACAATCCACAAGGCGTTGCACATGGGGGCTGCAAAAAGCATTGGCCATCGATCCATTGGTACTGCCTCATTGATATTTCGAGCGCGACCGTATAAAAATATTCTGTTGTGTCCGTAGCAGCCTGGCCTAAAAGTGTCGCCCCAGCCTCAACAGCGGCGGCTCGGGCGTTGAACGATTGCGATCGATATGCGCGCTTCGGCCGTAGACAGCGTTGCAATCAGAGCCGGCCATATGCTCCAATACTGGCCAGTGCCAGTGCCAGTGCCGGGGCTGGCTAGTGGCTAGTGGCTAGTGGCGAGGTCCGCTTTTTCTACCCGATCAGTCAGCCTGTCAGTCATGGCTCATGGAATTCCACTGCGCCACCATTCACACTCAGAAAAAGGAATTTCATAAAAATGTTCACAGACATCAGCTGCCAAATTAACTTTTAGCCGAAGTCCGTTTCTATTCATATTTATATTAATTTTCATTTCTCTTCCAAAGCTAACGGGTTCAATCTTTTTTAAGGTATTTGTGTAGTTTTATAATACCTTTTTTTGGGCAATTTTACTGGATTACTTTGAGAATTTTAGGCACACTGTTTAAGTATTTATGCATATATTTTAGTCCCCTATAATATAGTAAGTAGTCGCAGATAACAAACACAACTGCTGATACCATATTATACGAACATAGTTGTTGAGGACACCTCGCCTATTTTTGCGAAAGTATTTCTAATGCTTTTATATGCAAGGCCAGCTTTTTGTGGATTACAAAAGTCTAGCAATAATATCTAGCATGCAAGTGAGAAAAAATTAGAAAATACCGAATATTTTAACTACGTTAGCTAATCTTTCAAAAGCTATATCAAAGATGAAAAACTATTTTTTTGAGCAATGGTTCCTCGTATTTAAAATATTCTTAGCCTCCCTAGAACGATCTTAAGATATTTTAAGATAAGTAAGTAATACCCGAAGTATCCAGACATTTTTCAGAACGACATTCATCATACATCTCAGCAGTATGGCAAATGAAACAAATATTTTCATTTGCTCACAAGAACCAGAAAAATATTTATTTTATTTGATATTTTATTATATTTGTCTGTCCGTCTGTCTGTCTGTCTGTCCGTCTGTCTGTCTGCCCGTCTGTCTGTATGAACGCAAGGATCTCCGAAAGTATAATAGCTAGAATAACCAAACTTGGTATACAGATTCTCCTGAGAAAGGACGAGTTTGTTCATTTTTTTTTTTTTTTTTGTGGGGTGGTACAGGGTATTTAAGAGTTGAGCCTGTTCGACTTTAGCATTCCTTTCTTGTTATTATTAATATTTTAGACAAACTTCATTGTGAAATTGCCTTTGGCTAGTTAAGCTTCAAATGATAGTTCTCAAATCTCAACCGACTCAACTTTTAGGTCTTTTAAACCTTTTCTAGATACGCTTACATACTGTCCCACTGCATTATAGAAGGGCTTAGTGGGCTTATCGAACTATACAGAAATTGCATTTACTATCCCTAAATGATATGAATGTTTTCTGATTTTAGCTCCTGTCTGAATTCTTGTCAACATTTTTCTGAGTGCAACCCGAGTGGCGGATGCTGCAACGGCAACGTTGCATTCCAGTTGCCTTGCGCGCACCCTCAACGCCTTTTAGCATTGTTTATTAACTGCAGCATTAAGCAGGAGCAGCTACAGGAGTTGTTGCAGGAGCTGGAGTTGGAGACGCTCCAGCCTTGCACGTGATACAATTATGGCAGCGTTTGTTTTTGCTAATTCCCCGAATGTCTCACTTTTTGCCTGCCTAGCTGCGAAATATACGTTGCTCGCATATTTAACGCGATTTCATTACGAGATGCAGCATTTTTTGGTTTGTTTTTTGTTTTATTTTTTTTTTCGGACGTCGGAAACTATAAAAAAATGGTGGCGGCAATTATTTTTAGACCGCCGTCCGTTCGTCTGTTCGTGTGTTTGTGTGTTCGTGTGTTCGATGCTTCTAACAATCTTGCCCTGTAAGTTGCAACTGCGTCTGATTTATTGTTGGAATATTCAGAGTAGACATGCCTAAAATGGTGGCCGTTGCCGTCGGCATGGGAAAGTTTCAAGTGCATGTCCGTATGCGGACTTCACACCTCTGTCACAGTGCGTGGTCCAGCAGGTAAGGAGAGGCAAGAATCCAATCCAGACAATCGCCTGCTTATGAATTCCGCGCACAATGCCACGCCATGCCATTGTCGCCTCTCAAGTTGGTCAGACACCGCGGGCGATCGATAGTTATGGTCGTGTCAGACATCCTGTAATTTTTCACTTGCGCGCGCCGATGTTGCTGTTGTTGCTGTTGTTGTTGTTGTTGTTGCTGCTGCTGTTGTTGGCAACTTGTTGACACTTCATTGGCGCGCAAGTTAATTAAAGAGCCGCAGATGCGTAGACGCGACAAACAGTCTGTCCGCCTGTCAATGAAGGAAGGGGCGAGTAGAACTTTGGACCACCAATGAGAGAGAAATTAGCCATTTACTTGTACATTGCTCGAATAGTTCATACACAATCATACTTTATTTAAATAGTTAAATGCAAAGTGCTTCACACTGGCAAAAACATTGAAATGCATAATTACTACATACACGTACATACATAAATAGCTACTTATTTATTTACACGCTCCTGCCGAGGAGCTTGAACTGGGATAATGGGAGCTCAGGGCTGGGTATGCCCAGCCTTAGTTGACAACCTCAACGCTGCAGTCCTCCTCGGCAGCATCGACGAGCAACTGCATCTCAGTGGACTCGGAACGAGCGACCACAGCAGGAGTTGTGCTCAACACTCGGTCCTCCTCGACGCTACAGCTGCTGCTGCTCTCACAGGAACTGGAACTGATGCACTCCAGATTCTCACGCTTTGTTGCCTCCAGCCTTAGGTGCGGCTCCGAGCTGAGACGCAAGCGTTTCTCCGGCTTCTTCAACAGCTCCTCAATGGAGTAGGGGTTCCGCTTGCGACTGCTGGTCAGTGTGGACTCCATCAGAGTGTTTGTTGCAGCTGCAGCTGCAGCTGCCGCTGACGTAGCCGATAAAGCCGCAGGGGAGGATTTTCCAGAATCACAATCACTGAGCGCATCGCCCGCCACCCCGGGTGTGCTCAAATCAATGGAGCTCTCCGATTTGGTGAAGCCAACTGTGGAGCTGCCGGCCACAGCAGCAGCTGCTGCTGCCGCTGCCGCCGCGGCGCTGTGCGGCATATAGTGGCCGGTGGCAGTTCCACAATGTCCGCCACTCCCGCCATAGGAAAGAAAGGGCTGGCCCTGGCTGGCAGCAGCAGCCTGCATGTGAGCCTGCGTGTAGTAGAGTAGCGAGGGATTCCAAAGCCAGTGCTTGTGCAGAGTCGAGTAGCTGAGATCCAGACCGCCCAGTTGGCTGGAGACGGCGCTCGATACCGTCGCGCTCAACTGAGCCAGGGAGGTGCCGTGTTGGGGCGCATGCTTTGGTGCAGGCTTAATAGGAATGTCGCCACTGAGATGTGTTGGAGGGACGCCACCCTTGCCATAGCGTTGCTGCAACTGAACGGGTCCTGCATGGGCTGCCGGAGTGGGCAGCGATGCCGAACGTGGCGTGAAATGTGCAGGCGTAGCTGCTCCACGTTCCGTTGCTGTTGCTGGCGACATATTGGTGGCACCGGCATAAAGCTGCGTGGACGTGGCATAGGCGGCGTTCCCCGACATTGCCGCCGCTGCTGCTGCGGCTGCTGCTGCCGCATTCTGTTGACTCGAAGTCATCTCATCCGTCCACAAGCCACTGTTGCGCAGAATGCGATTAATGGAGCTGATCGAGGGCACGGAGCTGGGATCGCAGACGCGTTGCTGCTGCAGCTGCTCGCGTATTTCCCAGGCGAACATACCGCTGTTCTCCTCCTTTAGCCGTATTATCTTCTTAACCACCGTGGGCGTTGCAACTTGCTGTAAAAAGGCAGAGAGAAGGGGGAGGGAGATGAGAAAAGTGTGTTTAGATATGAGTCTCTACCGATTAGATAAAACTCAATACTAATGCTAAGCTTTAGTAAACAGAGAAATCATTGCGTAACTCTTCTGTAAAACAAATGTGTTTTTAAACGAACTATACAAGTATACAAATTAATCGTTGAAAGTCGCCTAAAGTTCAGACATCCAGTAAGGACGATGTAACCCTACATATGTATATTAATAACTCTGATGTTGCATGGCTAAATTAATGTCAAATCTGACTAGATTTCTTATTATCAGGGTAGCTACTTCTTCTAGATTGAGAAGAACTGAGAACAGCACAGGCTATCTGATAAAGTGGTTCTTTCTCCGATTTATGCTTCAACCACAGTCACGATGATACTCCCATAAAGGGACCAACCTAAATGAGTAGTAGGGCTTATAGATCTATCGATCTATCGAATAAAGGAAATTACGGCTTTTGTCTGACCAAAATGAGGCAGTCAGCAGAGTAAAGTTTATATTTAAAAGAAGCCTCTACCTCAACATTGACATATTTTAGATCTGTGCTTCTGGAAGCTGGTAGACTGGCCTAGACCTTTCCGTTCCGTCCTTGAAGGAATAAATTTATAAATTCTCTTTAAAAGATATCTTTTTTTAGGTCAGCCCATTCGCTTCCCTAGCAATAGCAGTTGATGATTAATAAATAAGTGGTAGATATGAACATCTACATATATTATTGAAAATATATCATTAACCCCTTTGATTAATTGCCGTTAAATTCAATTATGTAACGCATTACAGCGCTGTTGTACTTCAAAAAAAAACCTGTACTGGCCAAAACCGTGTGTCTTTTGTTGCAGTCGCCACGCCCACGCGCCTTGCTGTCATGTCAGTCAGTCAGTCAGCCAGTCAGTCAGATTTGCATCTGGGCATGTTCCACATCTATTTTTGCATACTCGTATGTTAATTTGTTGAACAATTTCAAGCCTTTGCATGCAACGCTGCCAACGCCTTTGTACCCACATCGAATAACCCTCACGTGTGACGCGGCAATTCATTAAAAATTCATAAATATGTTGCTTACCCGGAGCACGGAGGACGGAGGACGGTTGGAGCACATTTACACGTGAAAGATCTTATCGGCAATCTACACGCGCGCGCTTTGCTCTACACAGCGCCGACCGGACACCGGACACCGGACATCAGACCCCGACTCGACAACCCTCCGCAACTAAAAACTAACACTATCCCCCATCTCCGCATCGCATGGCGGCACGTCTTTATTGACCCGGAGTAGGTGTTAAATGCACGTTTTGTTTGCCCTGAACGGCCAAGCCATTCAGTGCAGGTTATTGAATCGAAAACCCTAACCCTACCCCTCCCCACCACAATCACCCCAACTCCAACCCCAACCCCAACCCCAACCCTAGCCAGCACACAGTAGGGCGCATCGTGCACTTGCTGGGCGTTGCAACTACCGTTAATTAGGTATTCGTGGCTGGCGTCAAAGCCGTCGGCAAACACCCCTCAACTGTTTCCATTGTCTATTGTCTCTGCTCCTCCCTCAACATTACGGAGTACACATGCCCGCTGTCCCATTATTAGATAAGAGTGTATTTGCACCGTGATTCGCGCTTATCGACACTGTTGTCTGTCACTGGAGCATTGTCGTCACTGAGTGGGCACGACCAGGACTTGGATGCCGCCGTGAAGCGCCTAATATTGGAGCTTTGGGCATGCCATGGCCAACAATTTACGCGCAGTTCGGTAGCCGTTACTGCTGATTGAGCGTGTGACCCCAGCCAGATGATGACGACGCGGTCCCAGCTCCCTGGGGCACGAGTGTGCTTTAGTTATCAGTCCTAAATGGGAGATTGATTTGTTGCGCTCTGCTTGCCCCATAGCTGACGCCTACGCGAGAATTGGCCCTCGTAGGCTGCTGTCAATCACCCATAAAAGCTATCACAAAACATGGCCAAACATGTAAACTAGCTGCTGGTTACAAGCGCTTATCTGGACTTCCACTTTATGGATTTACTGCTGCGCGTTTGATTTTTATATAATCGTTTATTGATTTCACGGCGCAGACCCAATGCATACTATTAAGTAAGCGACTGTTTGAGCCCAATTCAACTCACCTTGGTCTTGCTGCCGCCAATGGAGCCCGGGCGTATGGAGCCAGTTTCATAGAATCGCGTCAGTATTTTCGAAACGCAGCCTGTAAAGAGAAAGAGTTGAACTTGTAAATGGGAGACTATAATAGAATATAGAAGAAAACATAAACGAATAACACGCTAGGCGAACTAAAAAACCTTAATTGGAGAAAGTAGAACAGCTGTAAGTTCTATAAGTATAATCGATAAAAATCCTTTTTGAAATAACAGACCTCGTTCACTATAGAAAGAGCAAAAAAATTATAAAGGAGTCATCAACCTGGTTAGTAATCTTTCTCTGGATGGTTGCATAGACCCAGTTCCGTTCTATGTAAAAAGTACAAATATTCTAACCTCATCTTCTCTTTGAAGCTTTTCTGCCCAGTGATCTATAGATCTAGACTTCCCACTTAATGGAGCACTCCTCTTATAAAGTAAATGACTGTAGATAAATGCAGCCCTTCTTTTATGTTAATAATGCTAAGATATAACGCTCGTTATTTATATATAGTTCTTTCTTTCACGTGACTAGAATAGCAAATAAATGGTCCTTGAGGATAACACCTGTCACTTCCTAATGTGCTGGAGACTCCATTCTACACCAATATATTCATGTCGCCAGAATTCCAGATGGTTTGAAGGCTTACAACCATCAACAGCGTAGAAAATTGATAATTAGGTTCTCCTACAACAGCATAGATTGAACCATGTCTTTGAAATTATTCAACAATTCAATGCAAAGCAGCTGTTGAAAAAGATTAGAACAGTTTAAGCCCCACTTTATATAATGTTTTTAATTTTGTGATTGATCTTTGGACTTAAACTGAAATTCAAGTAGCTTGCCAAAATTGTCAAAAGTCTGGGACACGTTTAAGAAAGTTTTTGGACTGATAATAATCGAAGTCAGGCGTGTAAATCTAAACCACCCACATATTGTGTAATACCTCCCGAAAACTAATTTAAATTCTTTGATTCTCTTGCTTTAATCAATCACTTAGTTAAATATATTCTTAGTTGTGAGCACACTTACCATGCGAGACCAAAAGCTGCCGGGATATATCACAGGGCCTGACACCACATAACGCCAGATCGACTATACGCCGACGCACACAATCGGGCAGTGGGCGACCATTGACGAAGACACCGCCCAGCTGATTGACACCAGCTTGACCTGTGGATGGCAAAATAAATGTTACACAAAAAACACGAAGTTGTTACGTTTTACAATTACAATGCAGCTGGTCAACAGTCAACTTCCTCATCGCACGAGTACAGCTTACAACAACAGGCCAATAAGTGTGGCTGTAAAGTGTTCAGGAGGCTCGTAAAAGCGAGTGGAGAATTTACAGGCAAGCATTTTATAAAGCGGTTCAAGTCTGCGTCATAATAAAACTAATAACCGTGTCTGTCGGCTCTCCCCCTCAACCCTCTCTCTCTCTCTCTCGCTCGCGCCCCCTTTTATTTCGCCCCCCTTGGCACATTTCGCAATTAATGAAGTGCGAATTTTATGTTTTGTTGTCTCTTTTATTATTTTTTAAGCTCACCCCAGGGCTGCATCTGCGCTCCAGTTGTCAAAAGACAAAAAAAAAACAACCAGATTAAGAAAAAAACAGGAAAAACGCGCATTTTGTTTTCAGATCGAATCATACACTTTCATTTGAAACGTTCCAGTTTAGTGTCTCTTGGCAGCCCTCTAACGAATTCATTAGCCAAATCAGTAAAGCGATCGCACTCACCTGTATGCGGCATAGTTGAAACCGTATCCACTTGTATCGGTAGTACAGAAATGTTTAGTTTTATTGTATTTTATTTTTTTGGTTGCTTGATGGGTGATTTTGGTGAGCAACCGAAAAAGTTTAACAACAATTCAATGAGCGCCTCACTCGACTCGACTGTACAGTTTTTTTGTTTTTTTTTTTTGGTCCACTCGTATAATGTTGGGTTTTAATTTTAGTTTTAGTTTAGTTAATCAAATTTCAAGCAAGAACACTATAAAACCAACAAAACAAAATTAAATGCGCGACTGGCCGTCGTCGTGCTTCTGATCGCTGGTTGATGAATGTCGCTTGATGCGATGCTGCCACGGACAGCAGCACGGAGATGGCTTTTTTACGGCTTCCACGAAAACGCTTCAGCTTCCAAATGGCAGGCCAGGCCAGGCCAGGCAGCTAGCTAGAACTACAAGTAGAAGAAGTGAAAAACTAGTAAGGAAAATACATAAAATTTAATTATTTTATAAAACTACCAGCAACCGTCTAAACATGCCAACAGCTAGTTACTGCCATTGTTGCTGCTGCTATGTATATTCGGTTTTGACTTTAATGTGCATTGGTTTATGTGGCCAGTGCTGTGTTTTCTATCTCAAATTAGCTGCTTATCAGGCACATTCTGGGCGCAGCGTGAACTGCTATTATCGTACCGCCTGCATGTCCCGCTCGCAGTCCCAGTTCCAGTCTCAGTCTCAGTACCAGTACCAGCACCAGCCCCAATAGTTACGTGTAGTTTTTGGTAACTGGCCAATGGTCAGTGGAAATATGCAAATAAGTCAACACACAGGCAGATTGCTATCCATTTGAATGGCTGTGGCTGCTCGCGGGCAATTAAAATGAATTTTGGCCAATTGCTCATTACGTTAAAAACATACCAAAAATATGCAAATGTTGAGCTTTCAACAGCTCACCCACTCACACACACACACAAACACACACACACACAGGCCAGCGGTTTCCGCTTCCTGTCATTAGAATGAATGGGCCGCCCGCTTAGCGACCCCCGGTGCTAAGCGCTGCGCTTGTCGCCCCGATCCGTTTCAGCGCCGCCTGTCAGAGGCATGAAAACGCACCTGAAGAACCGTATAAATCAAAACTGGAACTACCGCCACAACGCGACTCTTTGTCATGGCCATGTTATTATGGAATTCACATTTGATTTAATTGCCGTTCGCCGAGTCAGTCCTGTTGTGCCCTTTTGGGCCAAAAAGGCTAATGAAATGCGTTTCCTAGAGAGAGTGAGTGAGTGAGTGAGAACGAGAGAATTTTTCAGCTCATAAAACATAAGCGCGTGTAGAATCGTCAGCACCAGCACCAGCACCAGCTCCAGCACCAACTCCAGCACGCACTGACCACGTCTCCATCCGAGCGCATTCCAAAAACTCGAAATTAAGTTGTTCATTCGTTTTGTTGTTGTTGGCCGGCGCGCCGTCAAAGTTGCCGCCTTTGCTCATTTGCTCGACTTCTTGGTTTTTTTTTTGTTTGGTTTTTTTTTTTTTTTTTGAACTCGCTCGCATGTAGGGAAACTCGTGGCAGCCGTTAAGGTCATAAAGTGTAATACCTGAGGCCAAATTAACCAACTGATAAGGATTCATTTCATTTGCCTAACTGTGCGCCCCGCTTCGGCTTCGAGTTCGACTGCGAGCCAAGCTCACTGACTTGGCCTAGAAAGTGGAAAGATATTTCGGCTATTTTCGGAACCGGTCAGTTCAATTGCAAATGGCATTGTTGGTCGCAACGAAAGGGTTACTCTGCCTTGGCTAGCGTGTCTGCTGGCCATGTTTCAGAAATGCTGCAGAAATATTTGTCGAGTTACTGAATTAGGCCAAATCACAACAATTTATGGCGATAATATCAAGCGAACTGATTGCCAGCGATATAATACCCGCAGGCTATGTGTACCATTCCCTCAATGCCTTTTCGCATTTCCAACAGATGTACGTCAATGTTGTATTTATGCAAGTTTTGACTTTTAATTCCCGATGCTTGGCTTAAAATCAAATCGAAATTTGTAGTATAGTCTATTTGAAATTGCAAAAGATTTTCTTAAACAATTCTTTAAAGCAAAGGTTGTATAGCAATGTTTAAAATGTTCGTCACAAAATTGTCCTGCAGATAAAGTTGAACTGATTCTAATCGCATATTCTCCAATATAAAGATTACCTATGAATTATTTACATAATGTTGAATATTATTATGATTTTAAACGCTTCAAGTACTATATGTTTTATATTTATATTTTATTTAAATTGCTTATATATTAGCATTTAGATAAGATTTCGTTTCTAGTTTAACACTTCGAAGTCGATTTTAAATAAATAAACCACATTTTTATTTGTTTGGCGGTCATCTTAAAATTGTTTCTTCTACAATATCAGGAATTTCATTATTTAAAGTGGTCCTAAAGGAACGCAATTAAATAACATAAACGTGCAAATATGTATTAGGATGGATAACATTAATGGAAGATGGTGATTGGCAATATGGATTTGTTACCAAAGCAATTTTGAATAGAATATTTAACATAAAAAAATAACAGTAGTCTTATTACAAAATTATTTTCTAAACCGTATTTAGGACGCAGGATAAGAAGTTTTTATGAAAAGGCATTAAGTTCTGCATCCAATAACTATTAAAAAATCTATAGATTTGATATTGAATAATTGAAATATAGATGTTAATTCTCATATAAGACCAAGTAGACCTATTCTTTATCTGAAGTATTAATTTAATTAAATAGTAAACATTAATTGGGGCTTTTATTTTGTCTACCAAAAAAAGAAGTGCCTCTTATCTCTCATGTAATTACTATATTTTCCAAATAATCAATGTTCATGTGCAAGAACTCTCAAGCTGTGGTTAAAATAATTTTCACTCTACTAAAGGGATATCTACATAAATAATCGGAATTTAATAAGCCATCGATCTGTACTATAGTGTACTGCTGCATTATCTAGAGTTATTATGTTATCGGCACTTAATCATACACTTTAGCACTTTAGCTCACTTTAGGAGCAACAAATTATATTCAATTCACCGCCTTTCCCAGGGAATCGAAGCTTTTATAATACATTTGTTCTACATCTGTATTAACAAGATTTTTCCAACAAAACTACTTAGACAAAAGAACTGAAAATCGAAAGATGGTTTCCCTTGATGCTGGAGCTGTGCACCAAGACGAGATATTTGAATATTCGACCACCTAGAGTAACTCCTGATTCCGTTATTTATTTTAAATACCACTCTTCACTAAATTCTGAACTATACATTTTGTTTATTTGAACGATTTTGCAAAAACAGCTTCATACGATACCCAATACTCCGCTTCAAAGTTGATCCAAATTAGACAATTTATTCACCGATTTTTCTTCCGATTTATTGGTTGTAGGTAAATTTAGATACAACTTCAATATAGATTCATTCAAATCTATATAATTTTAGAAATCATTGCACAATTTGTTTGCTTTGAACCTTATGCTTGACTTAAAATTTTTGCAAACAATCTTCCAAAAATCAGAAACACTTGCCCGCATCGAGGAGCGCACACTTGTCAACGAAACACACATAAAACCAATAGAAATTAGTTAAACATCCAATAATTTAAAATCGTGTGGCGCTGTCGTTCCCGCTTCCGCCCTCGCCATCAGCGCAGTCACAGTCACAGTTTGCTGTTGGTTGTTGGCTGTTGGCTGTTAGTGACAACGATTACCGAAAGTGGAACCGACAGCGTTGACTAGCTTCTGTTTTTGGCCGGCTGGGAGCCGCTGATGACGAGCTTTGTCTGCGCGCCTTAACAGCCGCTAATTAAAATAAAAAATTATAATAAAACGTACGCTTGGCCGTTTGAATATGATTAGAGGGGCTAGCTGATGGGTATGTGTACGAGTATGTATATATTTAGATGGCCAGCAACTTTCAGCCCGCTCCCAAAAAACTAAATAAGTATAAAAACAAAGACATCAACTAGAAGCGGTCTAAAAGCGATACACTGAATATCAAAAATCAATATAGACGGCTACGCTTAAGTAAGTTGTTGTGCGGCTTGTTCAGTAGAAAGCCGCACAATCAATGAGCCATTATGGCCGCCGCACCGGCCGGAGAATGACAAAGAATTAATTAGCATACGATTTTTGAGTTTTGTCGCTCGGCTTGATTCGTGGGAAAAACTGTTGAGCTTCCAAGCGCTACGGCTTATATGACTTATCGGCTCACTGACCGACCGTTCGCTGCACGCGCACTTTGCTGAACGACTTGGCAATCTTTTGTTTAATTAATGGGCCGCCACGGAAGCTCATCATTAATATGCAACTAGATGGTTTTTCGCAGCAATCGCAATAGCTTTGAATTGCAAATTTCTATTTTTTGGATAACAAAGCCAAAGAGTCTTGTATTTATTGGCATTATTACAGCCTCTGATTGGCGGCAGTGAAGGAAATCAAATGGATTTCCGTTGTCTGTTTGTTGGTTTGTTTGTTCATTCATAATGGAAACGAACGACAAATTTACTTGCGACAAGAGCCCCGACTAGCGAAACTAACCGACATAAGCTTGAATGAAGACCGTTATATTGTCGTTCATTAATAAATGAGCGGCAGGGTGGCGGCGGGGCAAGCGCAGATGTGTAAATGATAAAACAAATCTTATGGGCATCTTTTATATTATGCCGCAACCTGCTCAACTGAATTAAATGATCTCGAATTTGTTTTTGGGTTTGTTTTTTTTATCTTTGTGCTTCTTTATTTTGGGAAAGCAAATTATGCGCAAACAAATTGATTAAGCTACTTATTTATGTATTCTTTTTGATAATGGGACGGACAGCAGCAGGTTTTGCTTCTGGCAAAGTGTGTGAATTGGAGTAGGATTGATTGGAGTTTGTCCGTTTATTGTTAGGAGACTCCCACTTACCAGAGCAGGCAATCTTTAATGCTATTATCCACTAGTTGTTGAGTTTCGTACACTTTTAGCAATATTCACAACACT